AAACAACCAACGATACACAAAACAAAAGCGCTCAACTTGAAGCTCAGCGCTTGTGTCGTGGATATCATTGATTAATGTCTGTGTTTTTGTTAAATATAGTGCTACTTAGGTGTGTTTTTATTTTAATAAATAAACAAAGAACAATTCTTTCACTTCAGCGAATTAAAGATGGGGTGTATCGTGTATAGGTGAAAACTTAACGAAGCTGTGTTTATTGCTTATCTGGTCAACTCGCGTACGCTTTCTGAAAAAAAAAAAAGCTTTATTCAGGAAGTATACTGGCAAGCCAGGGGTCATATATCGGTTCAGATCAACACAAACATGTTACATATACAAGTGATCTGTAATGCAGTTGAGGTATTAGATGTTTGCAATTATCAAAAATAACTTACGAGCACCTTGAATTCTCTGAGGGATTCTAAATTATGGTACTTTTTTTATAAATTACTACTTCCAACAGGTAACAGATTCATTTTTGTCGTATTTTCTGATTTTCATTGCATAATATTCCATAGAAACTAATGAATGATAATTTATCACTTATACCTGGCATGTATATATTCTAATTTTAATGACCCAAGCTACAGATGAGCTACTTCTGCGAAAACCAAAAAAAGTAAAGTTGTTATAACAATCAAAGAAAGAAGTATGTAGAAAGCCTTATGTGCGTTGTCTTTTTGATAGAAGAGTGGCGTACATATGTTCCAGCAGTTCACTTGAGTCATCTGCCTCTTTTGTATTGCAACGAACGATCCATTAACCTCGCTGAAAAAACAAAACAAGCCTAGCTGGCTCGTTACAAATCAGACACAAAAGATGCAACACAGCCATAAAACGTATCTCGTAACTGCAGCTTTAGCTTCGGCGTGTCAAGAATTCGAAACAGCCCTGCATAGCAATGGTTGGATGTTGGGTCATTCGGCTTTGATCGGCACGGAGTCAATAAAAATTCTGTTCTAAAAATGCCGGCTTAACGTGTAAGTTGAAAGCTTGCAGGAATGCATGAAGGTCCTGTTGCCTGAATTTGTGGGGGCTCGCTGTATCAGTTCTTTGTGTCTGGTTATTTTTTACTCTTACTTCACAAATTAATTTACTGAATTTTAAGTATTTATTTGGCGACCCTATTAAAGGTTCGTTTCAGCAACGCCAAGATTTCTTAATTTGTATACATGAATGCCGCAAAATTATCGATAAGTTAAAAAGAGAGAGACAAAAATGAGTTAATAGGTGAACGCAGTTACAGTCGTACGTGCGCAAAATTTACGAGGTGTAAATGAAATGATAAAATCGACAGCGATAATGAGCCGGAATGCATGTTCTATTTATGCGATAAAGGCGATCAAGCAAAACACGGATTTAAACCTTCTCAGTGCTACAAGGCAGTGGCTCAGGCCGAAATATTTTTCGGGACGGTGCACTTTCTTGATCTGAAGTGAGAGTGGAACAGGCAGATGTGTTCAAGTGTCATTTGTACTCTGTATACCAAAGCGAAAAAAAAATTCATGAGGTGGGGTGGGTGGGGGTGGGATCTTGTGTATTACCTCCAGATTACGCCACTACTATGGGAGTAACATAGTACAAAATCATAGAGTAGTAATCTCATGTGCTCCCGTATAACCGAATGGTCAAATTCGCCATTGCCGTTCCACAAAAAAATGTTATTTACTTGTTAAAAGTATTAAAAAAAAGCGTGGACTTACCTCTCTTACGGTATTCTTCAATGTCCATTTCACCTTGAAACAGAAAAAAAAGAAAAGAAATCATGAAGTGGTAGTCTTAATCAGTCATCCCTGAAATACGCCTCGTCAACGCGTCTACAAATTACAACTCATCAACTTCGCCGATCTCATTATAAAACATCCACCATGCGACAAAAGAGAGAAAAGCACGACTGACAGAGAGAACACGAGGCGTCGACTATGATCCATTGTAACGAAAATCGATCGAGGCAAAAATCAAACGTGAAAATGAACGCTGAATGGGAGAGGTTCGAGAAAAAAAAGAAGGCTACATCTAGGATATTTTGGTGTCACACAAAGGCGCCATGTAAACGTCTCTCGTAATACAACAACATATTTTAGATGAAGGAGGAAATCAATTGGAAAGGTACGAAGCACTAGGTTACATCCGAAAGGTAACAGATGACTTATTTAAAAAGATTGTGCAAGGGATATCCACGGTGAGTAAAAATATGATGGAGTGAGCAACCGAGGAAGAGCCCGTAGCGGAGAAGTTGAGGTGGAAGACGGCTGAAGGAAATATTTCAAAGCGCGCTACCCCGGGTTTACATGGGGTGCCAGCCAACCTCATTCACGAACTAGGAAAACCTGCTCACTCTATGAGCAGCTTTTTCTTTCGTTTCTTTCTTCGATTCTTTTATGATAAGTTCTTTCTTGGGCCCCAGGTGATCATTGTGAATAGCAACACTCAGAACTGTCAATGCAGATCCCGGCAAACGATGTTTTATTCCAGTAGGTGGCCTCCTAAGAGATATTCGCAGTGATATTAACTGCATGCCTTTGTATTTGCATACTTCGCACTCTTTTATGGACTACAGATAAGTACAGATCTAGTAATTTTTTATGATACAGTCTGTCTGCCATGTGAAACAAGAAGGTGGCAAGTGTGCTTCGACAGCAGCCCACATCCACAGAATTTTTTTTTTCTTTTGATAAGCAACATTTCGATTGGTTGTAAGTATTTTTTTTCTTTAGCTCATATATGTTAGAGCATATTATCTCTGTTCGTATGGGCTACAACACAACACGTCGTAAAAATTTGACTCAGCTTAAAAAAAAAAATCGAAGCTCCTGCAGTCGACGGTTATGCAGCTTTCCCCAAAATCGACTTTACCCAAGGTGTGAGGGGCAAAACACGGGTATCCTTAAATCGTCACACGAGAAGTATACCGACTCACCTGTAGCAGCCGCGGTAGCACGAGAACTAGACTAAACGAACGACTACAATCCACGCAAGGTGAAGCCGAGATTCGAATCGCCCAGTTCTGGGCACTGCACTCCGGGACACTCGTCTAGCTCGGCGGAGGAGTCAAGGTGGCACGGCGAGCGTGGGAGGACGGGGTGCGAATGCTACGAAGCGTACCCACAAGAAATGCACAACGAATGTGAGAGCGTATACATTTCCATGCCCTGTAGCCCTAATCTGGAAAAGAGCCTTCACCGCAGTGACGTCTTGGTCCCTAGAGCCACGGGGCAACGCTAATGGCGTGCCAGAACTTTGCTCGCACAGAGGCGCCCTTTACAGACCTGTCCATCCCGAGTACTCGTTGTGCTTTAAGTCAGCAATAGCGCAAGACTTGACGTGTTTCACGATGCACGCATCGGAGCCCCCAGCGGCGGGTCAGATGTCTTCCGCGGCTCTCCTCTTGGGGTTCTTCCGCATACGTCACTTCAGGTTGCGGGAACCGCTAACGGCGCGGTGCCTTCGGATGTCGACGGCCGCTGGAGTAAAGTAAGACGTGTGACAGAGCCTATCAGGCATCCTTCCTCACTGATCAGCCACGAATGCCCTTCACTCTTTCGTGCACTACGTTTGTTTTCATCTAAGGGCCAACAACGGTAAGCGTGAAAGCCTGTAAAAGGTAAGAATAGGAAAACGTGAATAGCGCGAGGTCTCGTTTCTTCAAATTTGGATCTTGGCAGGAGACGATACGATGAAAATTAACGGGTGGGTCTTGGTCTTTCGTTAAGGTAAGGTGAGTTCTGCATAGTTTAGGTGTTGAAAGAGATAAAATAATTAAAAAAGAAGACAGTAAGTTTTATAGAAACGCAAGAAGCCAAACATATGTGGTTCCAGGTTCTTGAAATGCAATTTTTATGAAGAATGAAGGTTCATTACATCAACTCAATATGATAGTTTGGACAATGTACATCGAGTAAGAAATAGCTGTGGGAGGCCATATATTCGCATACGTAGGCACGTAGCGATGGCTGAAAAGTAAAACAAGGATATCAAGTGTTTGTGTACTTTTTATTCTCTTTTGCCCTCCCTCATTCAGAACCTCATCTTCTTCCCAGAGTATAGCATCTAGGTTGATCTACATTTCTGCACCAAACAGCCCCTCACAGCACTTCCCGCGTTACGTTGGTTTCCTTTATGCCACAACCTCTCTGCATTTAAGAAATAGTTCTCAATCTATTTACAACTCTCTGTGGTGGGAAAGAAGTTCTTTTGCAGAACGCACTGTCTCGAACGACATTACTGCAATGTTAAATATAAGCTTATAGTTTCCTGGATAACAGTGAAATGCTGTTTAGAACACAGTGGTGAAACAGAGAAGACGACGGGATGAAGAATATACGGGACACGCTACTGTGTCCTGTATATTCCTCTTCCCGTCGTGTGTACTGAAGTGTTCGCAAGAATGTTCACGAACTAACTAAGAGCCCTCGAATATAGGACCGCAGGTGTTAGCGTACACTTCTGTGTGGTCATTTCGCCCAATGGGGATGTCAAAGATGACGGATGATGTTTGGTTAACGTCCCTCAATCACAACGACCAGACAATGAGGGAACTCGTGGAAGCATTTTTACTTAAACAGAAAGGGGGAATCATGCGTCAGTCAAGCATCGCTATCTTTTCACGAAAAAATCGTTAAATGTTATCAATAGCATGTTTGTCTCACTTGCTCCTTCCGTTTGCGTGCGCGTTTTTTTTTTCATAGAATTTCTTAAATAAGGGGCCCTCCCACCTAGGGTGACTTCCTATTTTATGCGCTGAACACTAGTTTGACAAATCAGAAGATGGATCATTCATTCATTCATTGATCGATTGATTCATTCATTCATTCATTCATTCATTCATTCACTCCACCCTCTCAGTAAGCGCTGTATATTGTCCAATCATCAGCAGTGGGTGAACGGCATGGCATGGCAAGCTATCACCATCACCGTAGCAATCAATCTGAGAACGATTCACGCGCTCGCGTTCGTCGCGCGTGTTGCGAGCTGAGAAGACGTCAATCACTGCGTCGAGAACGATGCCTCCGGTTCCAGCGCTGCCTCAGGAGAGGAGAAACGTGGATGATGAGAGGACCGTCGAGGAGAGCCCCGATTTCTGTAAGTTAGTCTCGGCGTAGCTTTTCGATCCACCACTTTACTGGAAGTCCCAGTGTTTATACTCTTCGGCATAGCCGGCAAAGCGTCCTATTAAGGCTTACAGTAGCATTTTTTTTCTCAAGCTGCGAGCACTTAGGCATTGCTTTGTTCACCTAGAGCAGAGTCGCAATAACACCGATGTAGTTTTAAGGTGGACTCATCGTAAATACAGCATATAACAGATGCAGTGTCAATTCTTCCGGCAACCTAAATGATTGTTCAAATAATTTCTCCCGGCAGTCGCTTCCCATTGGCTCTCATGTGTCACGTGACTAAGTGCCGTGGGGAGAAAAGAAAAAAAAACTGGCTGCTGCGGGACAGACTGGGCATACGTAGCCTAGCGTGCGTTAGATTAGGTTAGGTTAGGCTGCGAGACAGACTGGACAGACATGGTCCAGCGTGCGCTGGGTTAGGTTAGGTTACATTAGGTTATGTTGAATAGGTTAGGTTAAGTTCTACCGGTTGCCGGGAGAATCATACAAAAAATTTATCCTGGCAGTTAGTCACGTGACTTATGGGAGCCAATGGGAGGCGACTGTCGGGAGACATTTTTTTGATCAATTATCCCGGTTGCCGGGAGAATACACACCCTATATTAGACGTGCAGCGATGAAATACAAACAAATACGTGAGGGCGCCTGAACTACTGGTAGCACGTTGTAATTGTTTATACCATAGCCCACAAGAGAGGCCTTAAGTTGAGAGCGCAACACATCCGCTAGTGAAAAGTGTAATAACGTTGTCGACAAACATCATTGACCAACCACGAATGAAACAAACAAAATGAAGTGTGAGGAGAGAAAAGAGAATAAAAAGGCTACATTATCTGAATATTATGATCCCATGGCCACACGCTGTTCGAACAGAGCGTTTGTTGTTTGCCTTCCTGTGTTTGGTGTACATCACGCTGACCGCGACATGTGGGCAAAGTCTTTTCAAAACTTCCAGGCTTCAGCATATTCACAGCGTGTAGTCATCTGTCTGGTTCAAAGTTCAGTGAAAGGGGTAAGAAACTTATCGCCATGGCATCCTCTTCAGAAAGTCTTCAATACCGAGAGAAATGGCAGTGGCAGTTACCGCGCTTCTGACGTGTTTGCTGGAAATAGGTTACGGCGAGTGCTTGTGTAACCACGCTTTACGTTTTCTTTACTCCTTAATTTTGTCAATACATCGCTGAGGTCGAAATAAATCACTCTAGAGATTTTCAAGAATAATTCTTCCGTCCAACTTATTGTCTCTGTATTCCTTTAAATTTCTAATTGATTTCCTAGTTCGTAAGCAATAAACCTACTATGCAATAAAGCAGATACACCTTTCCCTATGCGAAGTCCCCCGGAACGCGCGTATCTTTAGAATATTTAAACATTTTAATACGTACCGCAAGTATTCCGTCAATAGAGCACAGAGTATACTTTTTGCGGCGCAAGTCACTTTGCTTGACACTAAGGTAGAGTCAGCTGAAGATACTTTAGTCAAAGACCAATGAGAGCTACTTGTCACACCTCGCTTGAAGAAGCTATAGTTGTTACAACAGACTTTGGCCCGAAGGAGCTACGATCTCTAGAACAGGTGCTACCGCTCCACAATGCAACGGGTAACGTGAATGCGATACTTACTGCTGCGCCTTTTATTCCATGCAATGGCCATAAGCAGGTGGAGCTTTGTTCGTGTGGCAAAGGTTTTCATTGCTCACTCTAGGCTTGGGTGCATTTAATAGCAATGCATGATACAGCTGCTTACAACCCGTCAAATGAGCTAAAGCCGACGCGACTACGCGACACTCTATATGTCCTCCATGGAAATAAAAACTATATCAAGAAAATACTTGGGGATGTTTTCTGTAGAAAGAGAAATAAAGGCTTGTTTCGAAACACTATTCTGCGCGATGCCCGGTATCACCCTGAGGAAGGAGGTTCTTTAGTTCAGGAACCCTCTGGCTTCGACTGCCCTATGGCCCTGGCAGCGAGATGTCGCTGGTCTTCCATGTCGTCGAGTACGAGCTTGGCCTTCCACGTTTCGATTAGGTGGTCATCGTTAGTTCTCGGTGCTTGGCCCCGCTCCTCTTGCATGTTGTGGTTTGCATGGCACTGCCATTCCGGGAGCAAGTGTACTAGAGTGTCCGGTACGCTGAAGAGCGGGCACATGTAGCCATGTGTTGTTGGGTAGAGGCGGTGCATTATTGTTTCATGTGTGCACGTGTTGCTTTGCTGGTGTCTGATGATCACGCTTTCTTATTTGGTTAGTTTTGAATGGGATGGAGCGTACACCCGTCGCTGCAGTCTGTAGTGTTGAAGTAGTGACAAATGGGTGTGTCCTACAGCCTCCATCTCTTCAGCCACGGGTCGGGTGCCCGGTGGCCCTAGGGCAACCCGGCTGACGGGGTCGCGGGCAGCGGAATGGGCCGCTTCGATTCCCTGTAGACCCTCGTGTCTAGGAACCCATAATACGCAGGTATTTAGATGCAGAGAGCTTCGCCATTTTGGGATGTCAAGTGCGTCGGGTGACGCGCGGCCCTTCGCATAATTCCGACAAGTGACTTGCGAGTCGGTGAACATTCTCGGTTGCACTACAGTACGGAAATCGCATCCTCACAACCATAAGCAGCAACTTCCTGATATGTTCAGCCTTATTCGGAGTGCTCACTGCCCAAGCAAAAGGAGGGAGGGATTCAACAAACGGCTAGGTTAACAAGAAAAAACCAGTAGGTATCCTTCAGTCTCGGTGTCTTCAAACCTTGCTTTCGCCGCGAGTGCTGAACGACTTTAAATAAAATAACATAGTGGAAGATAATAGCAACAAAAGTTACTCTCACCGTGACAGTACGACAACTGGAAATATGATTCGCGTGTTATGTACAACATTTTGGCTTGACAGAATTGCCGAATATAAATACCGTCAGAAACAGGCGTACATGATGTGAATCACTACAAAATGAGTTTATTTTGCCGTATCAAGAAAAAAAAACTGTCGCAAGTTCTCTTCGTAACCAATCTTTGTTTGAAGTATCCATGAAACGTGCGTCCATGCCCTGATGTTTGCACGTGTCTGACTTTTCTATTTTTCCTGACATTGTTTCATACGGGTCCTCTCTCTGCATGCTCACGCAGCCATCCTCGCTGTCCGAATCCTTTTCGCGGTGGTGTGGATCGCCATCACGGCCGTCGTTACGTTCGCGACGGAGAAAGAATACAACGCCCCGGTGTCGTACCCAAACTGTGGGCCACTGCAGGGCGTCGACGAGGTGTTCGAGGAGCGGAGGCTGCACGTCTACTACGGCGTCCCTTTCATGCGGCCAGCGCTGCTCCAAAACCGATTCGAGAGGCTCTCCATACTGAAGCGACCCTGGCCGTTCCTCCTGGACGCCCGTAACCAGAGCCAGTCTTGTTCGCAGCCGTCCCTGAACGTCGGAAAGATGACCCTGTACAACACGAACAGCACCGACGACTGCCTCTACCTCAACATATACCTGCCCGCACGAAAGCAGTCCGAGAGGAGCACGCCCGCCTATCCCATCATCGTGTTCATCTATGGAGGCGGCTACCACTCCGGCAGCAACTCGTTTCCTTTCTATAGCGGCAAGTACCTGGCCGCGCTCGGAAATGCCATGGTCGTGGTGCCGAACTACCGACTGGGTGTGTTCGGCTTCCTGCGGTCGTCTATTCTTGGCTTGAAAGGAAACCAAGGCCTGCACGACGTTCACGCCGCGCTGCTGTGGGTCAAGAACAACGCCGCGGCCTTTGGCGGTGACATTAACAGTGTCACGGTGATGGGCCATCAGGTCGGAGCTGCCATAATCGGCCTGCTAAGTTCCATAGGCGGAGCATCGCAGCTTTTTCATCGTGTCATCATGATGAGTGGGTCACCCTACATGCGCCACAGAAAGGAAGACAGCAAGGTGAAGACAGTGGAGCAAGATCAGCTCATACAAAAGCTAGGCTGCCGCGGGGAATCCAAGGTTGTCCTCGACTGCCTGCGCAGCAAGACGGCTCAAACCATGCTCGACTTCGCCATACGACTGAAAAACTGGAAGACGATGTTCATACCGAATGAGTACGAGGACATACACGATGACGCCAGCGTCGACCTGAGAAGCACGGCCATTCCCAAGGACCTCATCATTGGCACGACGATAAATGAGGGCTCGTACTATGCCAACCTGTTTCTGGAGACGTTCTCCAGGTATGACGCCTCGAAGCTCACCCGAGTCGAAGCTTACAGGTATCTCCAGGAGGTCACCGCGGGTCTAGGCTTCCACGGATACAAAGAACTGGTCAGCTATTACGACCAAAGGTACAAGGACCACAGTCCGGAGGCTTTTTTCGCGAACGCCATTGGCGACATAGTGATTAACTGCCCATGAAGCAGTTTGCCCGCGACATGGCCCGCGTGAACACCAAGGTGTTTATGTACGTTTTCAAGCACAAGCCTTCGTACTCGACCAGTCGTCTTGAGGGGGCAGCTCATCTCGATGACATCTTTATTTCGTTGGGCAACGCTCTCGACGCGCCGATCCTGAACGCAACCGAGGCTGAAAAGGGACTGAGCAGAGACATGCTCCGAATGTGGGCTCGCTTCGCTGCGAAAGGGTGAGTCACGCGCGTATGTGAACTAAGCCACAAGCCCTTTTTATGAGTATCTTCTACTTGTCATCGGGAAGGCAACGGCACCCGCGCCATTTTAAAAGAATAGGAGTAGTACATTCGGAACTACACTTGTCTAGAGCAGTCACTTAGCCTCTTCAGCCTCCATTTTCGTCTTTGCAAACATATGCGGAGACTGGCGCCCAACGATACCAAACGTAACAACACCGCATGCTAAGTCCTTGTACTGCAATGCAAGCATGAACGGAAATTCGTAGTTAATGCAGCATATACTAGCTGTGGACGGTATACCAGCGTCCACATCCATGCGACCGGTCTGGACAAAAGTGGTTCCGGCTGTATACGCACAGCCTCAGGAATAGCACTGGAGTCTGGTATGTACTTCTAAGACCAAGGATCCACCACCTTGAACAATGGTATTTACAGGATTAAAGTACACAATAGGCAGAGGTATTGCAGCATAGCATAGAGCAGGAGCTAGTATATAGCATAAAACATTGATCTGTAACGTACCTTGCTGTTCAAGTTGGTCCGTATTACATTCGAAAGAAAAAGCCCGCGGTAATAAAACGAAGGCAGTGAAGAAGTCATTCCTGGTTGTTCTTCGCGGTCTTTGTTTTATTTTCGCTAGATTCCGCTGCTGAAGAAAGCGTTCACCAAGACTTGGATAAGTGTTCAATAACTTTGTTGAGAATGGTTTATGCGAAAGTTGGTAGTTTGTGGAGGCACATTGATGGTATCGTCATTAGCGTATAGAAAATTGACTGCTTAGGTCATTTCTAATGCCGCCGAATGTAGTGGTAATCTACGCGGTAAAGTGGCATATGAGTACTAGAATTTTATGCAATTGTGCATGCACATGTTAATGAGAAATTAGCTTTTATTTGCAAATGAATGAAGATGCCAATGTGAGCAAATTACAGCGTTGTGTGAAGAAGTCTTCGAGTATAAAAATTAAAAAAAATAGGGGCTCTTGAGCTTTTTCTTTAAGAGCTAAATCCATGGTGACGTCCTGTCCCCTGGGAGCTCTTCAAATGTATACCTTTTTTATTGTGTGATGTTGCTCCAAAGGTTGAAATTGTAGATTCATCATCATCATCATCACCATCATCATCATCATCAGCCTGACTACGTCCACTGCAGGACAAAGGCATCTTCCATGTTCCGCCAGTCAACTCGGTCCTGTGCTTGCTGTTGCCAATTTATACCCGCAAACCTCTTAATCTCATCTGCCCACCTAACCTTCTGTCTCCCCCTAACCCACTTGCCTTCTCTGGGAATCCAGTTAGTTACACTTAATTACCAGTGGTTATCCTGTCAACGTGCTACATGTCCGGCCCATGTCCATTTCCTCTTCTTGATTTCAACTATGATATCCTTAATCCCCGTTTGTTCCCTAATCAACTCTGCTCTCTTCTTGTCTCTTAAGGTTACACCTACCATTTTTCTTTCCATGGCTCGCTGCGTCATCCTCAACTTAAGCGGAACCCTCTTTTTAAGTATCCAGGTTTCTGCTCCATAACTAAGTACCGGCAAGATGCAGCTGTTATATACCTTCCTCTTGAGGGATAGTGGCAGTCCGCCTGTCATGATTCGGGAGTGCTTGCCAAATGGGCTCCACCCCATTCTTATTCTTCTAGTTACTTCAATCTCGTGGTTCAGCTCCGCGGTTATTACCTGCCCTAAGTAGACATAGTCCTTTACAACTTGAAGTGCACTATTACCTATCTCGAAGCGTTGCTTTCTTCCTAGGTTGTTGTACATTACTTTCGTTTTCTGCAGAAGAATTTTAAGACGCACCTTTCTGCTCTCCTTAGTCTAACTCCATAATCATGAGTTGGAATTCGTTCCCTGAGTTACTCAGCAATGCATTGTCATCGGTAAAGCACAGGTTACTAAGGTACTCTCTATTAACTCTTATCCCTAACTGTTTCCATTCTAGGCCTCTGAAAACCTCCTGTAAGCACGCGGTAAATAGCATTGGGGAGATTGTGTCCCCCTGCCTTACACCCTTTTTGATTGGTATTCTGTTGCTTTCTTTATGAAGCAATATGGTAGCAGTTTATCCCCTGTAGATTTCTTTAAGGATGTTTATATATACTTCATCGACGCCCTTATTCCGCAGTGTCTGCATGACTGCTGATATTTCTACTGAATCAAACGCCTTCTCGTAATCAATGAAGGCTATGTATAGTGGTTGGCTATATTCTGAGAATTTCTCTATTACCTGATTGATAGTATTAATGTGGTCGATTGTTGAGTAGCCTGTTCAAAATCCTGCTTGTTTCTTTAGTTGATTGAATTCTAATGTTTTCTTAACTCTGTTAGCAATTACCTTTGTAGATAGCTTGTATACTACGGAGAGCAAGGTGATTGGCCTGTTTTTCTTCAAGTCCTTGTCATCTCCTTTCTTATGTATTGTAGATTACTACAATGTAATCGAGGAAGTTGAAACTGGCCTGCGTCAGTGAAGCTCTCGCATATGCCTGTATTTTGTGTAATTAGTAGCGTGCTTTGAACCACGAGCAATGACGCTCGTGAAATCTTTTCGTACTTGCTACGCACCCACTACGTGGTCTTAAGGGAATAGGCACGGCAACGTGTGTGTCTTCTGTAATGGGTGGCTGTAAACCACGAAGTGGTTATTACAATCCCATGTTCGGACGCGCGATGGCGACGTACGCTTGTACCACGCGTTATTACTGCGATATTAGATGTTGTATCATGAAACCTGTATACAGGAAGCATTAATGTTATTTTCATTGCGTTTCCAAGCTGTGCAAGTTTGTTTTTTTTTCACTAAATTTTCAAGCAGACGCATGGCTGTGTGGTTGAAAATCGGGTTATCACACAAACGGCCAGGGTTTTATATAGTCACTCAGGCGCGGAAATTTTTAGGCTTTATTTTATTTCCCGCTTTCTCATTTTTTTTTTTGTTACAAACGCCGATGCCGTACTTTCTGCGAAACGAGCTCTTTAACGCTGTCACGTTAAAAAAAAAGTTAGTGCAGCTAGCTCTAAGTCACTCAAGGCTAGGTCACTGCCGAGCTGGTGAACTGATGGTATATTTGCGCATAGCACTTATTGTGTACAGCGTGTTTGGCGAGAAGCAATCGTCGTCACCCTCCTCCTTCTTCTCATTGTTCTACCTTGCCGGAGCATGGCGATGACGTAGTGGTAATAGCACTTTGACTTAGGGGAGTTGGTACATGCTCGGATAGGCTTCAGCGCGAATCTGACGAAGGCAAAGAAGACACACAAAAGACAGACGAGTGCTGACTTACAACCGAGCTTATTTGCACATCAACAAACCTTTTATGCGCCTAAACCTGTCTGGTTTTCCGGTTCCGTGTTTGTCTTTTTTTTATCTTGCTCTTCCATGTATTCGCTAATATATGCAGGTTTCAGCGCATAAAAAGGCTTGTTGATGTGCAAATAAACTCAGTTGTAAGTCAGCGCTCGTCTGTCTTCTGTGTGTCTTCTTTGTCTTTGTCAGATTCGCGCTGAAGCCTATCCGACGTAGTGGTAGCCGCGAAACCGGACTGGCACGGTGCCGGCACACCGTGACTTATGGGATCGCTGATGTGTTAAATGTAGCAACTCTCGCTCATCATTACTGCATCCGACAATGAAGAAATTGACGCATGAGCTCTGGGAGGGAAGCAGAAAAGGAAGAAAATGAAGGTGATAAAGAAGAGGACGAAGATGGCACGTGCCGGTTCATAATGAAGAGTATTTCCTATCTACAACAGACAGCAAACCTCGACCTGCTGTAAAAGGTCTGAATTTGAGGCCTGAAAAGTCCAAAAAGCCCTATTCTACTTTACCGCGGGCGCATTATACTCATGCTCTCTCTATCCTCAATCACACTGAATGAGTGTTCGAGAGTGAGAAGCAATTCATTGATTGATTGATTTGTGGGGTTTAACGTCCCAAAACTACCATATGATTATGAGAAACGCCGTAGTGGAGGGCTCCGGAAATTTTGACCACCTGGGACAATTTAACGTGTGCCCCCAGATCTGAGCACACGGGCCTACAACATTGCCGCCTCCATCGGAAATGCAGCCGCCGCAGCCAGGATTTGATTCCGTGACCTGCGGAGCGAGATGCAATTCAGTGACCCTGATATTCAGCGGACGTCAGCGTGAACCTGACTGATTGACGGGTTTGTATAGGAGCAACTCTGAAAGCGAGTAAGTGTGGGCGAGTATAGGAAGGTGAGAGGGGAAACGTGCGGGGAAACAAATTTTTGAGAACAGGAGAGGGCATGAGCTCTACATTTCCCACGAAAAGACTCCTGACAGAATCTCTCCGAGAAATTGTGCAAGTGATGCGTAAGGGTTCACCACTAATCACAGTCTGTTTCATCGTCGTACAGTGATGTGGCCGGGCGAACAGTAAGGCTCTCTTACGTTTAATGTAAAACGATTCTATTTCCTGGATTTTCTCTGCGTTGCGGTTTTCACTGATGCGCATGGCATAGGCATGGCTTTATTTTTGTTGTTTTTGAAAAGTTCGTCAGGATCTGGAACACCGCAATGAAAGGTGCATCGAATATGTGGCGTCACTGGCGAAATACTTAGTTTCAAGTTGACAGTTTTCTCGATGTGCGCAATGCTTCATGTCAGCGTCATACTTTCCAGAGAGAGAATCAATTCTACTCTACCATCAAGCAATATTGCAAAATTGTCTCCGTGGAAGCCAGTTGTGGTAGCTTAGCAGCTAAAGTGTGGTGCTGATAAGCTCGGGAGCGTGG